TAGGCATTATTAAAAATATGCGAAATATTTCGAAATAATGTAGTATAATTAAAAGTGTAATGTAAATTATAAAAAAAATGAAATTAATAATATTATGAAAAGAAAAATGCAAACGTAAAAAAAAAGTAATAAAAAAAGAAAAAAAAAACAAAAAAGAAAAAAGAAAAAAAAAGAAAAGTAATATGTAAGAAAAAAGAAAAAAAGAGAAAAAAATATGAATAAAAACAAGTACTATATGAAGCTATTTAAAGTAGAAGGATTATAGAAAATGTTAAATGACATAAATATTTTTAATAAATAAAAAGGTTGGATAGATTGAAATATAAGAAAAACTAGTAATGACAATGAAAGATTGCAAAGAAATTACCCTTTCTTTTTATAATTTAAGAGCTTTAATCATTTTGAAGCAATGTTAATATTCTTAATTAATCAAAATATTTAAATGCATATTTCAATAATTATAATAATTCTAATATATTCGAATATATTCACTTTTCATTAAAAATTTTTAAGGTATTCAAAAATCATTTCATTTTAATTTAATTTTTAATTATTTTAAATACATACTTTCATGTTGTTTTTAATGTAAATTGCTTTAAATATTTAGCAATTTTAATTACATTACTAGTTTTAGAGAATTACAAAATATTTTAAAACAAATTAATTCATATTGAAAACAATAACTATTTATAGAATATTTATTTGATTATATGCATTTCTTGTATCAAATTATTGTTTTTGTTAATAATAACTGATTTTAATTTACATTTTTATGTAATCAATCATTTAATATAAAGATTAAATAAAGTAAATAAAGAAAGCTAATTTATTGTTTAGCAAAAGTATTTTCTAAAAATAATTAGGAGCAAAAGAATGCAAAAGAATTGTAAAATAAAAAATTATAGTAATATCATTATAAATTTTTAAACTGCAATATTTTGAAATAATTAAATTTGATATAAATATTTTTAAAATTATTTAAATAAGCATGATCTACAAAAATTTATTAAAAAAATTTTGTAATAATGTGATAAAATTATTTTGATTATAATGGTGATTTAATAATCTAATATGGATAAGTACTCAATATGATTACACATACTAATACTATTGAATATTTATAATATTAGATTATTTTAAATTTATTTACAATATTTGAAAGTATTGCATTTGAGCTATCTTGTGAATAATTATACAAATTTGATTGATTAGTACCATTTTGATCAAAAAATATTAATTAATATATTTATTATCAAATTATTTTGAAATTATTTAAATAAATTTGGAATATTGTATTACTTTTAAAATATTACAGATTATAAATTTAGTGATAATAGCATTAATTTAAATCAAAATTTTTTGGTAATTATTAGCTAGAGATTTAATCAATTAATTATTTTCATAAGTAATTAAAATTTTTAGTTTAGTTTAAAAATATGTTTTGAAATTATTCAATTAATATCAAATTATTCTAAAGAATTAACATTTTGACCTTAGCTAGGAAAAATAATCAAATTAAATTCAAATGAATCTATTTTACAAATTATATTTTATTTTGTGAAATAATTAAATACTTTATTATAACTCTAATGTTTTTAAATTTTATATTGATATATTTCGAAATATTTTGTATTTTGCTAAGTTTATAAAATTTTATTGAACATTTTGAAAGTTTTTGCATTTTGCAAAATATATTTAGAATATTTCAAAATATTTGCATAACATAAAATTTTTAAAATATATTTCACAATTTTTCTAAAGATTTTGCACTACACAAAAATTTTAAAATATATTTCATAATATTTTAAAAGATTTTGTATTATACAAAAATTTTGAAATTTATTTCGCAATATTTTGAAATTATTGTGAATGTAAAATTTTTTGAAATATTTCATATTTATAATTTTGCTGATATATATAAAGCAGGCAATTCTCAACATTAGCAAGGCTATGATGTATAACTTTTGGTATATATATCTATAGTCTTACTATGAAGATAAGGCCTATCTACTTTATACAAATACAGACTTGCTTATCATATGAATAGAAACTGAGGATATCTATAAAGATCAAGCAAAAAAACCAAACATTTTCAATCTTAACTATTCAGATGACTTATTTCTAATAAAAAACAAGACAAAAGGCATACCTATAGAAGAAACAGTGTATTTAAAGCCAAAGATATACTTAGTCCTTCCAGTTGAATATAATCCAATGACTTCCAAAGACTCAGATTCAGAAGATCCTAAAAAGAAACTTGGCATTCAGAAGGCAAAAGAAGTTAAGAAATATGTAGTCAAAAAAGAACTTCAATATGACAAATTTTTAGAATGACTTAGGAATAAGAAGTTAACTCAACATGATATATATAGTCTACACAGTTACAATCATCAAATATATTTGGAGAGAATAAATAAATTAGGTTAAACTCATATAATAACAAACTCTAGATCTTATTTAATAGAATTTGGACTCTTCTATATGAACATTAGTAAATTAAATTATATAAATACCTGCTAGTATCTAAAATATTTTCTGAAAATCAAAAGAAAAGGCTATAAAAGCTAGACTGTGTTTCAAGAAATAGATGCTTTATAACAAATATTTTTTGAATAAAAAATTATTAAAGAATGCTATAACTAATTATAGAAGTTTTTTTAATATTATATTAAAAACATACAAAGTCTTAGTTAATAAAATCTATATGTTAAACATGCCTAATATTTTTAAAGAATAGGGAAAAAATAGTTATACCCAATACATGTTATCTGAATATGGCTTAAACTATATTAGTAATTTAAAAACACTAGAAGCTTGGTTACAATTTGCGAAGTATTATCCACTTAAATATATATATAAATGTTTATTTATTTCTGAATATGAAATTAATAGTAAGGATTATTGGAAAAATTTTATATTTTACATAAAAAATAATTTTATCAGAAATGAAACTATAACTAATAATTCTAAATTTAAAGAATTTAAAGCCCAAATAGCTTTATATAAAAAAAATCAATCAGCAATCATTATTTAGCAAGCATATCATTTATAAAAAAAATAAATAAATTCAGTCAAAATAATTCAGTGTGCAGTAAGGAAATAATTTTATCAACCAAGTGGCATATTAATGAAATGTACCTAAGATCAGTCTTATCAAAATACTAATAAACTTGAAAATTGACAGTAGATTGAGTAATTTTAGGTTTTCTGTCCAAATTAAATTATTATTGCTTTATTTTATTTGGTTTACATATTACTAATTTGTAAATCATTCATAATTGTTAGTAGATTGATTTTTTTTTTTTTTGGTATTAAGGTGACCTCTTTGGTCTTTTGACTTTTATTAATCACTTATTGGTATTATGGTTCA